GAGGAGGAGGAGGAGGAGGCAGGGGCAGGCTCTGTGAGGCTGCTTCCCAGGAGTACTCTCAGGTTGCCTGCACCTGGCTGTCCCTGGGCCTGTCCTTGTTCAGGGGACATCAGGGTTGCTCTTATGATGCCAGCAGAGGAAGGTAGGAAGAAGCTGCGTGCTTTACAAGAGGGAAGGGAAGAGGCGGGGTGGGGTTGTGTGTGCAGAGTGAGGGTGTGACCCTCACCCCAGGTTCAAACCCAAGAGGGAGGAGATAAAATACCTGAAGCTCCCTGTGCAGAACAGGAGTCTTGTCAACAACATACCTAGGGCTGGAAGAAAGCACAGGAGGAGTGGGAGGGAAGAGAGAAAGGAGGGGGGATGCAGGAGGACAGGATGGGGCTGGAGGAGGAAGAGGGCGGGGCTTGAGGAGGAAGAGGCGGGGCTCGGCGAGTTGGGAGGTGGGCTTGGGGAGGAAAAAGTGGGGCTGCAGGTGGCGCCTCCCTGAAGCTCAGGAGCGAGGGCTGCTCGGCGACTGGAAGGTGGAGGCAGCGTCTTAGCACCTAGCAGTGACCTGTGCGGCCAGTGCTGAGTGAGGGGGTCCTGAGCCTGAGGCATTTCCGTCTCCCGCCGCTGCGAGCCTTCGGAAGGGCAGCAGTGTTTCTCTGATAAAGTTACGGTTTCATTGTCAAGGTAATGCGTACAAATGGGAAACTCAGAAAATAGATGTGTGAAGCTTTCCTGTCAGCCCACCAAGCAGAAAATATTACTAACACTTGTCCTATATGCAATATGCATCTTTTTCCTCGTGTATGGTTTGTTTTTCCGTCTTTGAAATGACCCCGCGCTTCCCGTTTTGCCTGTTGGACTACGCAGCTAGGCCGTGCTGCAGGCAGCCGCTCCAGACCCACCTTCAGGCCCTCAGGGCCTCTTGCAGCGCGCAGAAGGCACCTCTGAAGCCCCGAGTGAGGCCTGTCTGCAGCCCTGGTCCCGAGTACTCGAGGGGCCTCACACTCGCGGTCACACGGGATCCATCCTCACTGAAGGGTTCATTTCATTACCGTGATGTCCTTTAAGCGCCTCACTCTGTCCCCAGGATGGAATTTCTTTTTTAAGGCCGAATACTATTCCGTAGTCTTTTAAACAAAAACTTAGGCTCATTCCCCCATACTGTATTTTCCTGTAGCTTGTCTGCTTTTTCTACTGTACAGTATTAGTTATAACTGGCTTATAACTTTTTTCCTGGTAACTCTTGCTATGAATTCATTATAACTTTGTCAAATTGTTTTTAAGTTGATTTGATCTATTTCCAACCCATCCTTTGGAGGGAAACTCTAGTGAAAAAGTAAAGGGAAGGAAGATAAAAAGGAATAGAAAGTGATGTCCAGGGGCCGGGGTTTGGCTCAGTGGGGCAGTACACTGAAAAAAAAAACACTCCTTGTGCTCTGGTTTATCCAGTGCCCCACCCACTCTGCCCTGACAAAGGCCAGAAGGCACCGGGGCCCCAGGGAGCCGCCTTCCACCGGTGGGGCTCAGGGTGACTCAGTTCCAGCTGGTGACAGCTGGCTTCCAAGGCCCTGTTTTATATCTCACCCTCTCCAGGGGTAATGAGTCACCTCTTCCTCGGGTCCTGGAAACACCCTGACCAACGTGTCCCTGGACACAGCCTCTCTGGTGGCGCCTGGCGTCCCTGCCAGGAGTGTGAGTCTGTTGCTGGAGAGTGGGTGCGGGGACAGTTGCGGCTGGGTTCTTTATTCCGTAGTTGTTGAGCAATGGTGGGGGCCTGCGACCCTGCTGGGTCCCTGCTCCTCTGCCACCTCCACCCCAACCTGGGGCCGCTGTCGTGGGGATGGGTCTGGGTGCCTGGTGCTTCTGAGCTCAGCGTGGTGTCAGCCACTGGTCCTTGTTCCCCCGTCCAGGTCCTGAGGGCCCTGTCAGGATTCCAGCAATGGGAGGAGAAATGGGCGCTGTGCTCATCGCTCACGAGTCAGCCATAGGTGAGTCTGCATCTTCTCTCCTGCAAGGAGCAAGACCTGGATTGAGACGGGCAGCATAGCTGGGATGTGGGGAGGGCAGCAGCTGGGCCGTGTCCTCTGGATCTGCCCTAGGGAGGCAGAGGTTCCCGGTGCATTGGGAAGGTGGACCGGAAGGAGCCCAAGACAACCTGGGATGTGCCTGGAAGGGAGCATCTGAGCTGCTGGGGATTCCACGCAGCATCCTCGGCAGCTGATGAGCGTGTAAGGACCAAAGCTGGGAATGCCAGCAGGGGTGCCAGAGCTGGAAGTGTGTACGTAGCTGGAGGAGGTGGTTACCTCTTGGCCTGGGAGCAGGCACAGCGCGTGTTGGCTGCATGCTGGTACACATCTGTTAAATTTCCTCAGCTTGGAGATCTGGGGGATGTGGGTTATCCCCGCAGCAAACCAGCCAAGTGGGTCTTCCTTTGCTTGCAGTGCAGATGGGGAGGTAGAGCCCAGGGAGGTGACTCAGCTTGGTTTTCAAGCTGTGTCCTCAGCGAGTGGCTCTGGGTCACACCTTTTCCTAGGTTCCTGGGAGCATAGACTCCATTCCCTATAACCGGAAGTCATGAAGTGACCCCTTGCCTTGCATGGGAACTACTGGGATTGCTTCACTGTACCAAGCATGGAACAACTCACACCAAGCCCTACTAATGAACACACTAAAACACATCTGTTGCTGTCGCTTATCTGGGACACATGGCTGCTTGGGGTTCGGTGAGAAGCCTGGGTGCCACTGTCTGGTGGATATGGGCATGGAATTTATTTTAAATCTGGATCTATGACTATGTGCAGGTTATTTAAAAAACTATCAACTTCAATTACTTTGCCCATGAAAAGGATATAATTCAAACCTCCTGTGTCTTCATCACGTAGGTGTGAAAAGTCAAATCGTGTTTTCTAAATAGAAATTCAACAAGTTTTGGATCCGTTTGTCTTTCCTCTATACTTTTCTTGAGATAGTTTTTGAGCTTTGGAATTTCCCATTGACTCCTCCCTCTCTTTCTAATCTTGGGGTGGCCCTAAGAAGTTTGGGCATCCTATCCCAAGAAGATGGTCCCAAGGGAGAGGAAGTAGCACAGGGAGGAGCTGAGCTGTGTTTATGGCACCAGAGTGATTGGGTTCAAGTCTGAGCCTCTGACACCTGACCCATCGAGAGACCCCTCAACTGATGCAGGGATAATGTGGCACCTACAGCCTCTGTACTCTCGCCCCCCAGGGGCTGAGGTCCTGTATCTGTTGAGATGCAAGATGAAGATGCTATGTGAGGTCTGAGATGGGAGAAGGGAAGGTGCGCTGAGGACCAGCTTAGAAGCCCAATCCTTTGTGGGAAGTCAGCTGGAGAACAGGGTGGGGGCAGCGGCACGGGAGTGAGTGTACCTTGAAAAAGGGTGTACACTTTCGGCAAACATGTTGTGATTTGATCGAGCTTGCACGAGGCGGGCACGGCTTTTACTCCCAGCCTTCAGAGTTGGAATGTGCTCTTCAGGCCTCAATCAGGAATGGCTAAAGCAACAAACGAAATTCAGCTTTGAAAACATGGAGCAATAAAAGGCATCCAGATTGGAAAAGGAGAAGACAAGTGACCTGGTTTTACATGACATGATCTCCTATGTGGGAAAATCTGAAGACAAAAACCAGAGCTGATAAAGGAGTTCATAAAGGCTGTAGGATGGGAAATAAATAAACAAAATATATTATATTTCTGTGAGCATCAACAAAGGATCCAAAATTAGAATTAAACAAATTCCACTTGTAATAATGTAAGAGAGGTACAAAATGCGTGTTAATAAGTACAACAAAGAAGTGGCAGATATGAACTGACCATTGCAAAGCATAACAGAGAGGCATTGAAGACCACACTGGTGGAAAGGTAGCTCGGGAGTGCTAAGACTAAAGTGCCCTAAATTTATCTACAAAATCCCTGTCAGAAGCCCAGGGGCCCTTTCTCCCCCTCAGAAATTGTCAAGATGATCCTAAAATTTAGAAATACAAGGAACTCAGAATACTGAAAACAATCCTGAAAAGGAAAGTTAAAGTTGGAGAACTCTCACATTCCAATTTCAAAACTGCTAAGGCATAGCGATCAAGAGTTTAGTAGTGGCACAGAGGAGACACGTTGGCCAGTGGGACGGGGTTGAGATTCCAGAAAAAAATACTGAGTTTTAACAATATAATTTAGTGGAGATAAAAAAAATTGTATTTTTACTGAATGCTGCTGGAAGAACTGGATATCACGTACAAATGATTAATTGGGCCTTTGCCTCATGTGCAAAATCAACTCACAATGGATCTAAGAAATAAAATTAAGGAGTAAAGCTATAAAACTTGAAAGAATCTTAGAAGAAAAATGCCTATGTTTTCCTCTTTGGATTGGGAAATAATTTCTGAGATAGGGCACCAAAATTCAAGCAACATCCAAAAAAAAAAAAATCATTGGATTCATCAACATTAAATCCTTTTTAACTTCAAAGGATACTATCAGGAAGGTAAAAAGACAACTCATAAAATGGGAGAAAATATTTGCAGGCATACGTTTAAGGGCCAAGTAATCAGAATATAAATAATTCTTATGACTCAGATGGGCTTGGTCGCACACACCTGTAATCCCAGCACCTTAGAAGGCTGAGGCAGGACAATCACAAGTTTGAGCCCAATCTGGGCAACTTAGTGACTTAGCAAGACTCTGTTTCAAAATAGAGCATAAAATAAAGGGCTGCAGATGTGTAACTCAGTGTGAAGGCTCTGGGTTCAATCCCCAGTACTGAAAAAAAAATTCTTATAACTCAGCAATAGCAACAGCACAAACAGTAAATTGCTGAATTAGAAATAGGCAAAGTGTTTTGAATAGACACCTGCTGATTACTACACGAAGGAGTCAGCATCTTTGGTCACTGAGAAATGTCAGTCTGACCCACAATGAAATGATACCTCATTGGCTTCACGATGGCTATGACAAACAATCAAACAGTTACTAGTGTTGATGAGATTTTCAACTAGTGTTGAAAAGAGTAGGACTGTTATTCCATGCTAGTGGGAATAAAAAATGGTTGCAACCTGGGAAAATAATCCTGCAGTTCCTCAAAGTATTAACTGTCGTTACCATATGATCCAGCAACTCCACTCCTTGGTGCTTTAGTTACCTTTCTTGTTGCTGAGACAAAATACATGACAGCCAAAGTTAAAGGGGGTAAGGTTTATTTAGCTCACAGTTTGTAGAGGTTTCAGTTCATAATCAGCTGGCTCCAAGGCAAGGTGGTGTGGAGAAGAGAAACAGTCCATGGCAGGCAGAACATAGCAAAGCAACTAGGGACGATCACAGTTATTTCTGTCTCTCGTATCTTATCCAGGCTACTTGGGGCAGATAGCACTCACACCCTTAATCATAGTGCCCTTGAGCCTAGCATTGCACCGTGAATCAATTCCAGGGCCACATACTCTAGATCCAGCCACCTCTGAAAAAGTTCAACCTGTGAATGCGTGAGGCTTTGGGGGGACATCGAGAGACAGTTATAACACTTGGTACAGATAAAAAAGAACTGAAAATATCTGTGCAAAATCTTATACACAAATACTTATAGCAGCATTGTTCCTAACATGAAAACAAGCTGAATTTTTATTGAGTGATGAATGGATAAAAGAGTAGTAGAGCCATAAATGGAATATTACTAAACCACAAAAAGGAATGAAATATTGACAAACATTGCAACAGAGATGAGCCTTGAAAGTGCTCTGCAGGGTGAAGGAAGCCAGGCACAGGCTTTGCCTTGGGTGATCCCATCTATATGGAGCATTCAGAATAGGCAAATCCATACAGAGCAAAATCATGGTGGCTTCCAAGGGAAGGGGAGAGGTGGTGACAGACTGCTAGAGGACACCTTTGTTTTGATGTGATAAATATGTTCCCAATTTAGTGACTCTGGCTGTATATATTCTGAGTACAGTAAAATCATGAGACTGTGCACTTAAAAGGGTGAATTTTCTAGTATGTGAATTATATTCCCTTAAAGGAAGAGACCCAAGGATAGGAAGCTGGAGATGCTTTGAGGAAAGATTCAGAAGTTAAACTCCAGCCAAAGTCTTATCTGATGGGGGTTAAAAAAAACTAGTCTGATTCATACAGAACAAAAAGGAATAAACTGGATGTGGCTTTCAGAAGATGACAGGACAGCTATACAACGGACCCCTGTGCTGTCCATTACAACAGGGAAAGGGACAGAGATCTCCTCTGTCACTATTTTTAGAAACAGACCAGGCATTTCTGTGTTATTTAGCATAGAAAGATATATAGCCTGGAGTATTTTGTGGGCCACGTGTTTCATTTTGGAAGCAAAGCTATCTTTGTCTGTGTGTTTTCTCCTCCTGTAATTGTAGAAAGTTAAAAAACAAAATATTAAAGAAGTAGAGTACAAATCTCTAATAATTTCCTTAGGCTGAGACAATCACTTAATATACTGGGAAATCTCTGCTCAATGTTTTTTATCCCCCCCGCCCCCAGTATCACATCTGTGGCTTAGCTGGTGGTAATTTTTCTTTTTCTTTTTTTTTTTTTACATTGCCTTTATTGGTACTTTTTAAGTATACAGTACAGTTACATTCATCATTGGGAGCTTGTACCTTTACATGACAGATCTTGGTTCTTATTTTTTCCCCATTCCCCTGCCCTCCCTTCATCCCCTCCACCCTCCCCTATTTACAAAGACTTTGTTTCCATTTTTTCCTTTTCTCATATTTTTTCCCTTATTTCCTTTCCCCTACCCTTCCCACTTCCCCTACACTTTTATTCATTCCTTCTTTCTCTGCATAATTGAGATGATGTTGAACATCATTCAGTGTTCTGCTTATTTAGCTCTAAAAGTCTTTTCTAGGCATTTAAAACTTGTGACTTATTTGAAGGGCTGCACACTCTGCTCCGTGGTGGATGGATAGTGTTCTGACTGTCTGTTGTCACCTCAGAAGCCACACTAAATATAATGGCTTAG